GGGGCGGGGCTTACCAGCTTGAAGCCGATCTTCCAGTCCTTCCAGTTCACTTGCGGGTTGTTGTCTCGCAAGCTGGAAGCCGCGCTACGAGCTTTGCGGGCCACCGAGGGCGAGACCGGGTCCCGCAGGAGCTGCAGGGGGTGCGGCAGGGTCTCCCAGAGGTCGCGACGGCCCCGGGGGCGGGCCCGGAGGATGTTGGAGGAGTTGTATTTGTACAAGTCGAAGAGCGTCTGTTCTGTGATGCGGTCCAGCTCCTCCAGCTCCCCTTTAATTTGCGTGTACCTGGGAGGGGCGATGGGAAAGGGATCAGGCTAGGGGGCAGCCTCCGTTTTCTCGTGTGAAACTGGTGAGGCAGGAGGGGTGGGGGCGGGGAGTAGACAGGTGTGTCCCAGGGGTTAGTGGAGGCGACGGTGCGCCCCCGCGGTGACGGCATTGATTGTGCCTGTGTCCTGTTTATCGAAGGAGAGGCGGCCCATGGCGCGCTCCTCCCGCCCGCCCTGGCCGAGGAGGGAACCCGGAACTTGTGCGCCTTTTCCCAAGACTGGAGAGGGGGTGGCCTTGGCCTGCGCCCATCGCTCCCACGCAGGTCATCCCACCCTGATCCCCTCAGGGGAGGGTGGCCTTTGGGCCTGTCTGCCGCCCAGCACCTTCTAAATCAGGGATTCTCCACTTCCTAGGAAATTCCAAAAAGTACCAATGCTGCACACTACCCTCCCCCAACCAGGATTAGATTTAATGAGTTGGGGTGGGGCCCAAACTCCCTAAGTTAGACACTGCCCAGTATAAATCATCACATTCCTCAGTACTGGTCCTCTTACCATCTCCATCATGAAAGTCCAGAGTAGCAGGGCCTTAGGGACAGAACCTACCAAAACAAAACGCACGCACATGCACACACACCTAGAACTAATAAGGTTGCAGGATACAACATCAATATACAAAAATCTTATTTCTACATACCAGCAACAAGAAATTGGGAAACAAAATCATAAAAACACCATATTAATAGCATAAACAACATCAAATACCAGGAATAAATCTAATGGGAGATGTGCAAGATTGACCTTTACACTGAAGATCCTGCTGAGTGAAATCAAAGACCAAAGTAAATGGAGAGTTATGTACGTTTACGGATCAGAGACTCAGTGGAGTTAAGATGTCTCCCAAATTGATCTTTAGATTCAACACAATCCCTATAAAAACTTTAGCAAACATTTTTTAAAGAAATTGACAGGCCGGTCCTAAGACGTATATGGAAATAGAAAGAATTCAGAATGGCCAAAGCAATTTTAGAAAAGAAGAGCCAAGTTGGAGTACTTACTCTACTTGACTTTAAGACCTATTATAAAACCACAGTAATCATGCCCAGCTGGTGTGGCTCAGCAGTTGAGCATTGACCTATATGATCCAAGTGATCGTGGTTCGATCCCACGGGTCAGGGCACATGCCTGGGTTGTGGGCTCCATCCCCAGTAGGGGATGTGCAGAAGGCAACTTACCAATGATTCTCTCTCATCATTGATGTTTCTATCTCCCTCTACCTTTCTCTCTCTGAAATCAATAAAAACATATTTTTTTAAAAACCATAGTAGTCAAAAGAATGTAGTGCATATATATATGTTTTTATTGATATTAGAGGAAGGGAGAAAGAGAGAGAAACATCAATGCAATAGATTGGCTGCCTCCTGCACATACACCATACCTGAAACTTAGGTATGGGCCCTGACTGGGAATCAAACCTGTGACCTTTTGCTGCATGGGACTATGCTCAACCAACCGAGCCACACCGGACAGGGCAGTAAAATAATTTCGTAACATTTGATGCTGGAACAATTTCAATACTGTACTGGAAAAAAAAAAAGTGAACCTCAACCTCTAGCTCAGTCCATGCACTAAAATTAAGTCATAGACCTAAACTTAAAATTCGGAGCCATAAAGACTCTAGAAGAAAACCTAGAGTATAACTTCATGACCTTAGGTTGGCAAAATTTTTTTGAATGAATATCTAAGGAAGTACTCCTCTGAAACATAAAGATCTCAGGAATCAGCTCCAGCTGCCCCTCATCCCCTCATAGGAGAAAATGTAGCGCAGGTCAAAGGTGTGTGTTTGATATTCTGAGATTTGTTTGTTATTGGTAATTAAAAGAATCACTGTAATAGCAATATTTATTGAGCACCTACTATAGCCAGGCACTGTGGTATTAGAATGTACATTATTTAATCTTCAGTGAAATTCAGCATACTATTACCCACAGTTAGCTAATACTATTGTCATTCCCTTTTACAGGTGAAAAACCTGAGGCAGGTGACTTGTTCAAGGTCACACAATCAACAAATGGGTCAGAAAGCACTCTAACCATCACACTGCCCTCTACTGTGTCCCTGCTAGCTCTGGCTAGTTTAGGAAGTTGGCGAGGTGCCCCAGAAAGAACACCAGTTAGTCGGCTGGATGTGGGTCCTGGTGTTCCAGCTGTACACTTTCTAGCTGTGTGATGTTGGTAAGTAAACTTTCTGAATCCAACCTATTTCATCAACTGTAAAATGGGCCTAACACTATGTCTACACATGAAGCTTTCAGAGGGTTAAGTGAGAAAATAGTGACACAAAGTAAAGGAGGCCATCAAATATCAAGAAGACAGAGACAGAGCCCTGAAGCCCAAGAAACTGAAGTGTCTCCCTCATAGTCACGTTGCAAGAATCCAGGTGCCCCGCCCAACCAGGTGTGGCTCAGCGGTTGAGCGTCGACCTAGGATCCGGGCGATCAGGGTTCGATTCCCAGTCAGGGCACATGCCTGGGTTGAGGGCTCGATCAATGACTCATCATTGATGTTTCTATCTCTGTCTCTCCCTCTCCTTTCCTCTCTCTGAAATCAATAAAGATATATTAAAAAAAAAAAGAATCCAGGTGCCCCAACTTAGCTGGAGTTATTTCCACAACACAAGCCACCACATCTCTGGCTGGGCCTCCATTTCCATCCACCACCCCCCATCCTAAGCTGCTCCAAGTCCCCCTGTGCCCCTCTTCTGCCTCCTACACCTCCCTCATTCTCGTCACCAACTCCAAGCTCTCTGTCCCTTCTCTAGTCATCTCTCTTCTCCACTGAGCCCCACACTGTGCCTATGCCAGGCTCACCCTTCAGTGGCCCTCCTCATATTCAGCTCCCTTCTGCCTCTTCCAGAGAGGCCTTTGGTGATCACTTCCTCGACTCCCGCCTGTGACAAGGTCCCCAGAAGAGGCCAGGCTCCATACAGAATGCCACTGCTCCCCAATGTCCACTTCTCTCCCCTTCTTGAGGCAGCAAGAAGTATTCCCATATCACCCCTTCAATAAAGAAACCTCTCCCTCCCTTTCAGTTGACACCTAGAGCTAAAAAACTGCCCACTGAGTAAAAACCACTGATTGCATCAGATCATGTCCTGCAAGCAGGAGGACCCTGGCAAGAAGAGAGCAGGGCTGAGAGGGGTAAAGTGCTGACAAGGGGGCTTCAGCAAGACAGTCCAGCCCTTCTAACCTTGACCTCCTATCTAGTGAGGACTACCCTCACTCTCATCTGCTCTGGCAGGCAGCCGTACCTTGGAGAGGGGGTGAGGGTGAACCCTTGCACAACTTGATCAGGCAGGCATTACTATCTCCATTCTATGGTTGAGGAAACTGAGGCCCATCAACTAGGTAACTTCCCCCAAGGTCACTCAGCTAGGAAGCATAGGAAACAAGATGTGATCCCAGTCTTTTTCCACTCCGTGGTCTGAGCTCTTTTCACTACTCTGTCTTGGGGTTCGGAAATACCTGAGATTGGGCAGCAAAATCTTTCCCCACAGCTGGCCATATCTCCACCAGCCAATTTTCCCTTCAGGACAAACTGGAAGGGTCAGGGACACTGGGAGACTGAGCGACTGATATCTTGTTCTCTTCCTATCGTGTCTCCTCCTCTCCTCCCTCTTTCCCCTGGATGTTCTCCTCTCACAGAGGAGTCCATGCTCACCAGGCAGCCTTGAGATTTGCCCAAACCCTCACCCCA